TTGTTATTGAGCAACGTCGTATGTAATCTTAATTGCCGAACGATATTCGAATCCAGAAATCGAAAGTTGTATAAGTAGAAGATTTTTTATTTGCGCTGAGTGTTCTAATGTTTAGATTTATGAGTTGCTAACGAAGCACCTACATCTATCGAAGAATTAACCAGAACAATAAATATCATTTAGTAGTTAATAACTTTTAATTCTATTAGCCGACATATTTGATGGATTATAATCTCGTCGAACTAGTGTTCCAATCAGGTGTATAGCCGATCTATGAAAGCCTCAATGGTCGACCAGTCATCACGCATGTTAGAAATGCGGGTATATATTTTTCCTCTCAAAGTTATTATTCGAAAAATATTTTCTCTTAAAATACGTGTATAATTAACATAATTAGAGTCAAAGTCACGATCGTCTGAGTTATATTTAGTTTGAATACCAAAGTATCGAAGAATCAATCGATTTTAAGGAATCGATTTCGATTAATTATTACGCCTTTCAACGTCGCGATGACAGAACCGTCGGGCATCGTCGTCTCCGGCTTCACTTTCACTCGCGACGCGTTCTCGCAAGGTTCTCGCGAAGCGAGGTGGTACAGGCGTCATCCTCGTCCCGTGGTGATTCTCGTGGTGCCCTTTTTCTCACAAGTCATCTCCGTAGGTGACGCGCGAAGTTTTCACGGCGAGAAGTGGCCGACGACGGGGGGTTGGCGATATACGTCTCCCGGTCCGGGCCCGACCGAACGGGCTGACGGACAAACGCACAATGAGAACGTGGAATGCCCCGCAGAGCCAGACATGAAGACGTCACTCAGAAATGGTAACGGCCAGAGCACGGGGTCAGGCCCGACCTGACCGTTTCGAACTGGCTCCGTAGTACCAGCTGCGTTCTCTCGTCAAGTGAGTCAGCGCCGATTCGTGCCATCCGTCGCATCCAGGACACCGCCTTCGGAACGAAATTCCTTCCGCGGGTGTCTTTATCGGTATCGTCGAGTTCACGCGATTGGTACACGGTTGGAGATTGTCAAAATTCACACGATTCATGATAAACATATAGAGAAGAACAGTCTCAAATCGGGTCCTTTCAAATGCCTGATAACGCACATGATAATGAATGTTTTCTGTATACTGATAGTGCAACGAAGTGAAAAAGAGAAATATATAAAGCTTAATGAAAAATAGAGAGGAAAATTAAAATCAAGAATTAATTATAGCTATAGAGAAATTAATGTAAAATATTATATGATATTGAAGAGATATATCTCTCTGATATATTTATAATTACAGTAAATAACAAGAAGCTTAAGAGATGATAAATTATATAAAAAAAAAAAAAATATTTTTAAGCGCATATATACGGTTAAATCAAATTAAAAGTAACGTAAATGTATACGAACTGAAATGTATTTTTTTCTGCTATTCTGCAACATTTATCATAAAATTTTCGAGATGTGCGCCAAATGGTTCGTAATCGGATGTAACAAATATTCATTGAACAATGTGCACATCCGCGTTTAACAATCACTTAACGATTCCGGGAATATTCGTCTGTTTCGGAATATAAAGCAGAATCTGTCAAAATTTTTCGGAAGTTCGACGGCGAGCCCGGCAGGACGCGACGATTAACGCCAGGGAGGCGAGGTATAAATCTTACGCAATTTAAGCTCGAGCTTCGCGCGGCTGACAATGAATGGCGAAGCGCCATTTCAGCGCTTCGTTGGCTCATAATGCGGCCGTAAATTAA